CTGTGCCCACGCCGTTGGGCCTGGGTGCTCGGTGTGCCGCGGCAGCCCGTCTCTGTCGGGCGGCTTCTGCGCCTGCTTCCTCCTGGCTCGCGGCTCGCGGCTCTCCGGGCCCCGTCTTCCGCCGCGCAGGGCTGTGACGTGGTGAGCTCGTGTTCGCGTGAGTCGCTGCGTCCGTGTCGCCTGCCCCGTGTTTTCGGTCAGGTCATCCTTGCTGCTGCCCTGTTGCAGGCCTTGATACAGTACTCGGGCCCATGCCCCCGTGCCCGCGTGAGAGCCGCCAGCATGGCGGTCTCGCGCAGATGGAAGTGGGGAGCGCGCTGTGCGGAAGCAGACTGGGCCCCGCCGCGTGGGGCGAGGGGTGAGCCTCAGCTCCGCAGAGGAGAACCGCTGCGCAGAGTGCGGGGCGTGGCGCTCCGGCAGGCGGCCGTGGCTGCGGAGTCGCCGCGAGAGCCGCAGAGCCGCCTGCCAGCCCGGGCCCTGCCCGGCGGGCCTGCTACGCCCGCCCGTTGCCGCCGCGTGTCCGAGGGTCAGGCCCACCGGGAGCATACTGCTCCGTGACTGCGCAGTCGGGATGGTCACGCCCGAGGAGCGGCGTGGCCAGAAGTGGGCGGCTCGGGGGGCGCGGCGAGCCCAGCGCTGGGGGGCGGACGCCTCGGGTTTTCTGCAGTCGGGGTCAGCAGTGGAACAGGGATTATTCTCCCAAGATTGAGTCTGTGAGTGGAGACGTTTTTAAGCATTTGGTTACTTATATATATGAGAACCCCGATACAGGCCAGAGGTGGGGCTGGGGAGTGGGGCTGGGAGGCCTCACCAGGGCGGCAGGACAGGCAGACCCATGAAGCACCCTGAGGGGCGGCGGGGAGACCGGGGTCCCCCCGGCCGGGGGCCAACTCGTGCTGCGAGGCTGCGTAGCTCCTTGGTGTGGTGCGCTGGCCGTCGTGCCACCAGAAATGCCTTCTTTCGAACGGGGGACTTTACCTTGGAAAACCACGGCCGGAACAAGTGTTTTCTGGAGCAGACGCTCCCGCCCCGAGGTCCCGGGCGACGGCCGAGACGCAGCGCTGATGCGGAGGGTCACGCCACCGTGCGCGCCGGGACGAGCCCGTCAGCCTGACGCCCGTTTCTGTCCTTCAGTCAGGTCAGTTCAGCGAGGACATGATCCCCACGGTGGGCTTCAACATGAGGAAGGTCACCAAGGGCAACGTCACGATAAAGGTCAGTGCCCGCGCCGCGCCCCGCCCCCCGGCCCTGGCGCTTTCCCTGGCGCTGTGAGCTAGCGGGCGCGTTCTCGGGAGCCTGGGCCCGTCCTGTCTCTCTAAGGTCTGAAATGTCAGTAAGCACCTGCAGAGCTTAGCATGTGCAGCGCAGACCGAGGGGAGGCGGGAGCCTCTGGTCCCCCTGCGGGAGGCTGCGCCCTGGGGGAGCAGCCGCATTTCGGAGCGAAGGCCGTGCTTGCTGGTTGTCACTTTGCAAACTCAGCATTTTAACTGTGGCAGCAGGTCTCCTTCCGGGGTCTCCCTTTCCGGAAAGTGGCCCAGCCCAGGCCTAGGGCAGGCCCTGCAGGGGAGGCGCGTGGGGCGGCCGCCCGGCCTAAGGTCCCGCGTGACAGGGCCCCGGCGGGAGCTCGGCCGC